TTTCTAAGCAACATTTTAGAATAACTTTCTGCGGCTAGGTTTTCTGCATTCTATACAGGGTATTGTAAAACAGGATAAAAGTAACAGTCACAAATAGCGTTACTAAGGATCCCTGAATTTCGATGCCACTTAATATTTTGCAAATTTAATCAGACCTTTTAATTCTTAATTGTTGAATAAACCAAAAGTAATCAAAATTATGTTCCACAAAAAAGAACATTTTTTGCCAATGAAGTTTTAAAATCATTTGATCAAGTTTATATTAGAAAATTCAGTGCCGTGGAGACTTGTCCCATACTATTTCCAGAAAATTAAAAATTTCAGTCAATGAATTTTTAAAAATTTTAATGATTACCTCCATTGTTTACACACTGCATTTAAAATAAAAAAAATCGTATACTGGATTTTGAAAAAAGGATATATTTATTTCATGAAACGCAATTAAGAATCAGACTGATTAAATTTCTACAAAATGGAAAAAATCGTTTTATTTATTTTTATTTTTTGTTCTACCTGTCCCAGAATTTGTGTCACCATTATACTTAATGTTTACCAAATCTTTCCTGAATAAATTGATTAAGTATAACAGCCATGTCACATTGGTTCGCATGCACGTACCAAAATTAAGGAAAATTGCCTAGCTTCCATAAATCTGCCAAGAAAGTAACTACACTAGAATTAATTTTAATTTATTGGCTAATTTAGGATATGTGTTTATTACTTTCGGTCTTACCGATTATATTCTTCTAGAATCTTAACAATTATTTTTATTTTGTATATTTAAAAAATAGGATTTGTAGATGTAATATGTGTTTATTAATGCAGTTTAGTTTAGAGAAAAACTACACTGTTCGTAAATCATTTTTTTAATTACACTTTTTCATCTTTTATTGGCCATAACTTCTTTCATTGAGGTGAACAAAATTTAACAAATTGAACAAAATTGTACAAACAAAATAGCGAGATGAGTTTCTTGTGAAAAATTAGTGAATAAATAGCATTTTACTTTTTCGATATCATCAAGTATAACATTAGTCAAATGTAGCATTTTATTGTGACCCCGTACCTTATTACTCCTTTTTTGTTTGTTCCACTGGATTCAAATTTGGACCTATTGACTCTAAAGCTAAGACATAAATTACGTTAAAAAAAAATACCTTTGCAATTTATGTGCATATCAGATTAGAACATGTGTATAAAACAGGAGTGGCGTTAGTTACCATTTGCATTACTACAGTTTGGATATTTATATCTGATTCAAAATCGAATGCCGCTGCTTCGTAATCTAAATGCAAAAACAAACCTGGAGGCACGGTAACTTTTTCTACTAAGAAATTCTACTGCGTTGACTAATTAGGATACAAGATCTGACCAGGGGCAGTGGCGCTTTTTCAGTAAAATCAAGAAAGAACACTATGTACATAATTCTGTAATAAATGTTACATTGTAACTTAAGTGTGTTTTTAATTAAATGGTTAAGATAATTGTGAAAAATTTATTAATATGTCGAAGGAAGTAATGCAAAAAATCCTTAGTTTTAAACATAAAGGTTCCCCCGACACTGTGGTGACTCCATTCAGAACAAAATCCAAATAGTAATAATTATTATTCAAACACTAAAAGATCAACAGAATAGGGTCGTTTCCATAGTGTGTATGCGATTGACGTCATTAACGAACAGACTGACGAAATCAAGGCGTGTATTGTATGGAAATGCATCAGCATTCTGTTTTTCTAATAATTACCACGTTTCCAGAGTCGTTGCAGCTTAAACAAATTCACATTATTTGCTTTATTATGCGAAACAGATAACGCTTCTTCAGTCTCAAACTTAACACAATATTTAAGGTTATGTTCACATTTAATTAATTCTACACACTTAAACTGACTTTTTAATACGATTCATACCATATGTAAACAAAAATTACACGTTTTACATCTCACGTATCAACTTATCTGTTTATAAGTATATTATATATGAATACTATTTGTGTCATAATGAAAATGCGCATCTCGTTAATGACGTCATTTGCCGATTGGACGAAAGTGGCAGTTTTCCCGTTTTATTTTTATTTATATATTTTTTAAGTGACTTGTCTAACCGCTTTGGATGACGTAGTTTGTTGATGATTGCGCAAATTAATTGTGAAGACCAATCTATTCCATGATTCCTCCCGATCATAATTGCGAGTAAATCCAGTGCAAAGTAGCTTACACTTAAGCTACTAACGGTCGTTTTATGAAAGGAAATATAAACTGGGTTTAATTAAATCGCTTAGCAACAACTTATACTTTAACAGCCAATCTAAAATTATCTAAAGTTATTTCATTGTGGCATAGTTTTAGTTTTTTTTTTTAGGGTAACAAATAGCACATCTCTATCGCATATAAGATACAAACCAAACATTACAGTCCACTAGCACATTGAACGCCCAAACAAGTAACTTTGGTGGCTTAGAATGACAGAAGACACTCCATTTTCCGAAAAAATTACAATCCATAAAGGTGTTGCATCCATAAGTTAACCATAAATTTCTTCTTAAACGATCTAATAAAGAAATTTCGGGTGCCACCATCGATCCCAGACAAATCAATTTATGGGCCAAGGATGACAGAAGACACTTTATTTGATAACCGGTAAATTTTCTCAAGGAAAATACTAGGTGGAGTTTCCATAAAGTTAGACTTAAATCTGATCTTCTAAAGAAGCGATCAAAAAATTGTTGTACCACCGTCGATCCCGAATAAATCCATTTAAGAACTGAGAATAAAAGAAAACATTTCATTCATTTCAAATTTTCCGTGCCGTGAATTTGCTTTCCGAACTGATGCAATAGAAAAATTTCTAATGCCATCGCCGATCCCAAACAAGTCGACTTAAAGATCTAGGATTCTAGGATGTCAGAAGACACTTCATTTGAACACCCTGACCCTAAATTCTTGTTTAAAAAAAATTACAAAGTTGGCCATCCATAAAGTTGCTCTTCCAAAGAAGCAATAAAAAAATTCTAGTGCCAATCTTCCCGAACAAGTCGATATAAGAGCCTAGGATACAAGACTTCATTTTGTGACCCAGAATTTTTTTTCGAGATACGACTATTATTTTATTACATGGTGATAGATCTATTAAATTACTCCTTGAACTTGGATCCTTTTTAGGTACAAACATTAAAAGAAGTGAATATTAGTTAAATACTATTAGGTATTTAAACTAATGTCAAATTCGTTTCATAAAGTAATGTCAACTGTTTCGAAAATGAAAAGTTTGATCTCCGAGAAGTTAACTAGTTGAAGTGCATATTTTATGATGTGTATTTTTTATTCGTCTGTCTTTTGGTCAGGCAATAATAATCCTTAACTGATCCTTTTGGTGCAAGGGCTTGTTTAACCATATTTCTTAATTTTTCACAGGTGGTAAAATACTTTAACAGACAGAGAAAAAGTCGATAGTAATTATACTTCAATTATACAACCAACCGTTGTTTGCACTGCCAATTTAGCAACACAAAAAAAAACGTGAGAGTTTCTTATTCTAAATCTTCCATCATCAACTTTGATATTATTTTGATGAAACAGAATAAACTAAGAAGTAATGTTGCTCCTTATTGACTATTTTATGTTTATGTACCATTTTATACAATAGAATCACTATGGTATTAAAAGTTCGAATTGAGCAAAAAGTAAAAATAGCAAAGAAAACATTGCACAATAACGATATTGGCATTTTAATTAATTACCACACTTAAATAATTAAGAACTAAAAATCGCATTGAAGAAACTTTGACATTTCAATCGGGTCGTAAAAACTTCTTTAATTACCTTAAAATTATTTAATGCGAACTTATTAAATTTTATGACGATCAAAAAATTCCTGGTCGTGACCAACATCCGGTCCTGCTTTACAATACGAGGAGCATATGCAAGTCAATAGGCTACTTAATGGCGACCTTTATCCTAATGTGACTAAACAAAGACAAATCAGTGACCCTCTAGAAAAGCGAGACGAAATTACAAAAATAACCGAGCACGCTACTCGCACGAGCTCAAAATAAGGACGGAGATAGGGTCTATGAGATGAGAAGGAAGGGCGCAATTGCATTTAACAGGTCTCACAGACTCTATCAGTGGCGTCGTTTGGGGAGAGATATTTATAGGACACATTTACTGCAATATTTTACTGATCTTGTGAAATGAAAATATTTTCCTAAAAATATCCTACCTATGTAACAATTTTTTAATAAACAGGAACTTTAGATTACTGTCCTTAATATCCCAAACGTTCGCTTTTAGCAAGGTTTTTGTCACAATATTGACCATCTTTGGTAAACAAATTATTCTCGACGTTTAAGAAGTTTGATTTCTTTAAGTTTCATTTAAAATTTAAACTCTTTAACTAATAATGATCTAGGTTAGTCAATGAGGAGTTACAGTTAATTCATGTTAAAAAATGTATTACATTACTTTAGACATCTTTAATAACTAATAAATGGGTAATTTCTCATTGCAATGCGTAATACAACACATAATGAATAAATAAATTATTATAAACGCGGTTTTTCGATGACATAAACAACTCAGACATCACAATACATTGTGCTGCCAATATAAACTTTTTTTCCACAGTTCTAGGGTTTTTTAATCAAAAAAGTCAAAATTGTTAATCACCTATTTAAATGTTACGTGTTTGTAAATACACACGATACTTAATTAAATTATTACGTGTCATACGTATATTCATTTATTAATATATTATTTTTATTATAATGTCGAACCCTTGTAAATAAATATTCCCCTCCGTCCATGGAAAGTAGCAGTACTAGAAAGAGTTCTCGCTAAAGGAAGACAGCGCGAAAGCAGCTGCACGCGCTCGACTGGTCACAGGTGGCTAAAGTGTGGGAACACCATAGCCTCTGAGATTCCCACGATCGGGCTCACCAACATGGGTCTGTTAACTCACTCTACTCCACACCTGGGCCCGTTATAAAAGCCAGCCCCTACCATTCCGATGTCATTCCGAGTCTAACTCTGTTATCGCTCACTTCGTGTGCTAACCCGTGTAACAAGTGCTTTAAAATGTCGTACGAAATGTTGTCTTCCACCGTCGAGGAACCCCAACCAATCTCGAGAACCTACCAGTACAGGAAGGTCATGAAACCGATGCTGGAAAGAAAACGGAGGGCAAGGATTAACCGTTGCCTGGATGAACTCAAAGAACTAATGGTGACAGCCCTGCAGAGTGAAGGAGAAAACGTCTCAAAACTGGAAAAAGCCGATATTTTGGAACTAACAGTGCGCCACCTTCACAAACTTCGTCGCCAGCAAAGACTATCCACCAACCCCGTCATCGATGCGGACCGATTCAGAGCAGGGTATACGCATTGCGCCAACGAGGTGTCCAGGTGCCTTGCCGCCATCCCTGGAGTCGACGTCCAGTTGGGAACAAAACTGATGACCCACCTAGGTCACCGCCTCAATGATATGGACAAAGTGTCGCCACTAGTGATTCAAGTGTCTTCTGCTTACACACCCCCTGGTTCCCCCAACTTGGAAGGGATCACCCACAATTACGCAATGCCTTTGACGCCTGCATCCTCCACGTCTTCGAGGCACTCTCCATCCCCGAGTCAGCCAATGGATTGCTCCACCGCCGGGCTGTTAAAAGTGGCGCAAAAAGAAGAAGTCTGGAGGCCCTGGTGAAGGGAAAACTTTTAAAAAATTTGTATTTGTAAATATTTTGAACAAATCTCACTTTGTCTTTCATAACAATTTGTTGCTCAATTGCTTTAATATGTAGATTTAGTTTTAGAGAAAGATCTCTCTCCCTTTATAAAAAAAGCTTTAAATTTATTTTTAGGGGTGAATTATTAGATTTAATCGTTTTGTGATATTGATGTCAGTACCTGTGATTTCCAAGGCAATTTAATTAACGAAATCAAAAAAATGTGTTTATTATGCCTTATTTTTTGTAATATCTGTATTGCAAGCATTACTGTGATACAATTATCGTATTTTTGATATTGAAAATACTACGTTTTTTAAATAAATATGATTTGTTATATATGTATATATTTTATTTATGTACTTTTCCCTCTTTTGACTGCTGTATAAGAAAATAATATATACACATTATCTGAAACATGTGATTTGAAAACGGCGCAGAACTGAAGCCGATAATTATAATATAATAATTTTTTTAAATAATAAAGTAAGTACCTATTTGAATATGTCCAATAATAAGTGAAAAGTGCTACTAATTCTCATATTTGATCTAGTTGAATGGCACATTTTAGTACGAGTTGAAAATATTTCATTAATCGTTTATATAAGAAATCACCAGAGGAGCAAATTCTACGTCTAAATGCTATAAATTTAATTTAAATACTATTATTTAATTGAATACACATAACGTTGTTAGGGAATAGATTCAAAATTCAGGATTTTTGAGGAATTCTAGCGCTTTGAAGTGTTTTATTACATTGGGCGACATCTACTGGTGGACTTTCAAGTTGTTAGTAGTTCATTTCACGCTTGAGGTGGCGCCACATATCAGAAGCAAAGACGATAGGAATATCTCCTTAGATATTAATTTTATACAGCAAGTAAAGGAAAAAATAGTTGAATAAACACATTATTATTCGTTTTAATCAGATCAAGGATCAAGTAAATGTTCCATTCATTATAATTTGAAATAAATATAATAATTTAGTAGTTATATTTTAGTTTTCCAGTTAACAGTCACAAACTTGTGCTAAAGGCTGTTAAGTCTGGGCATATTAAATTATGAAACATTAATTTGAAAATGTTAATAAAAACTATGTTCTAATTTTTGAACTGTTCGGAATTTTAAAACACATCATAATGATCGGTCCAATTCATTTTTGTTTAAATATTTAATTTTAAAAGTTTTCACTTCGTTATTATTAAAGACGTACCTATACCCCTTTGAAAAACTAATACTATCTTGTCGATAATAAATTATTTTGAAAGTTTCATTAGATAAAGAGACATTTTAATGAGAAACAACACTCGCTGCCTTATTATAGGTATTTATTATAACTGTGTAATTATGATTCTAGACAAAATTAATTAAGTATACAAAGTTGCTGAAGTTTTCTCTTCTTGTAATGTTATAAATTATCTGTTACCACACAGAGAAATATAGTTTTGTTTTTTATTAGTTTGTGCAACGGCCGTATATTTTATAAAAACTCCAAACATATAATAAAATTGACCAGCACGTGGACTGTGTGGGCTACCACACACCTATACATATTTAACGATAGCGCAGCAGATCAATTATTTCTTACGTTTATAAAGAATAATAAAATGATTATCTAAAAATGCATAAACCTCCGAGTTTGATATTTAGGGTAATGTTATTTATTAGCAAGAATACTACAGCTTATAGATAAAAATTTAACAACATATGTACTTCGCTATTACATTCAAGGCCCAATTCTAGTAAGTAAATGGTAAATGTCAGTATAATAAATACAAAATTAAAGGAAACTATCTGGAAATAAATAGTAACGTAAAATAGTCTCTAAATTTGTTGATAAATAGCTACACAGAATCTGTACGTAAAATATCAAATAAATCAATAAATAGTTAACCACTGACGGAGATTTTTATTTTTTTAAAATACAGAATTCTTCTGATGGCCAATTTTACATTATCATACATGACTTGCGTATGTTGTCTACACTATATTTGTTATTTTAATATCATTTTAGAAAAAACGAAAAATACTGAACTTTATTTTTAAATTGTAAACTGTGATATAACTCTTGATAGATATAGAAAATCTAGGATATTTTAAATTTTATTTTAAAATAGGTGAAATATATGAAAATTCTGATATCACTATTTATGTCAAATTAGTAGGTATCGCTACAAAGTACACAAACGAGGAGTTATTTTCTATGAATGAGAGGTAATTATTCTGCAATTTAAGTCATAAATGATAATTCAGTAGATGACAACAAATTTCCACGCAGTTTTATGTTAAGAATGAATTAATGGAATTCTAGAATGTAGTAAGATATTTCGAATATAATTTTTAATTAATGATTTATTTTATGTACCTACAATAAGAATATATAATATTTTCAATCAACAGAAGTTATATTGTGCCTACTTGCCATAATTCTTCAGCGTTTTCAAAAAAATATATACAGGGTCATTCAGGTTTAATCTGGATAACTTCAGGTATCAATAGAATAGGTTAGGTTAGGTTAGGTTATGTTCATTTATGTTATAAACTTATTTCTCAAATTGCATTGTTTCGGAGATAGAGGGCGTTGATGTAGGATTTTTTCCCTTTTCTTAGCACTAAAAATACTTTTAAAATAATACTTTTAATGATGATTTTCACAAACGTCAGTTTATACAAATCATTGTGAGTTTTGTTTTTCATGGGTTGCTATAACGTTAAATGAAATTTACACACTGTCACGGATTTTATTGAATACCTATCTCAGAAACAAGGCCAAATATCGAAAAAAACAAGAGACCAAAAGATTTAAAAAATAATGAGACAAATGTGGCGTGTAAGTGTTTTATTGAAATTAATTAATTTTTATGAAGTTTTGAAATAATGTAGGAGGTGGGTACACACAGTACACTTCTAAGAGAGGTATGTATAGTTTAAACTTAAGAAGCTTATGTAAGATCATACGGAGTGTATGTGTTCCGAATTTCACCTCAATCGGATGAGTCGTTTAAAAGTTATGAGGGAAAAACGGAAAAAAATTCAATTTCAACGCCCTCTATCTCCGAAACGATGCGCTTTAGGAAATGAGTTTATATCATTAATTAACATTATTTTAACCTATTCTATCGATTCCTGAAGTTATCCAGATTTAACCTGAATTACCCTGTATAGGTACTATTTTATACCAAAAGCTAACGAGGTAAAAAGTTAATCCTTTAGGTATATATCTTTATTTAGCCACACATCTGCGACTGGTTTAGAATGAAAAATTACATAGTAATGTCGATAGGAAAAAATAATCTTCCGGGTTAAAATAATGTTCTGAATTTAATTTCGCAGTTAAAATTGACCAATTAAGTACTTATAACATTTAACAACATCACATATGTATAAAAAACTTTATTAATGGTAAATATCTAATAAAAAGGAGGACTTGCAAAAAAGAAAAAACTGCTTTTATAAAAATAATGTTAATAAGAATGTTTTATTATTATGACCTAGCATAATCATAATTTTTGTTTATAAATATTTTGTTGTTATTTAATGTTTTTACCTTGTTAGCCATAAGTAGGTACTAAAAATATTAATTACAATAAATAATTTCTTATACCTATATTTAAGATCATGAAATTATTTACTCAATAAATTGATGACCAAGTTTCATCGATGCAAAAGAAAAAATGGAGACTGTCGGAACTAATTCTATTTTATTGACTTTTAATTTAATTCAATAATAAAATAATTTAGATAGAAAGTGATCCGCTTCTGAAATTATCTCCCGTTTTAGCAATAGTTATAGAGGACAAAAAGCTGATTTAACTAATTGTGAACCAAAGAGTAGATATAACTAGCGTCTCCTATGAGGTACGCTAAAATTATCATTGTAATGCCAAAAAAAAGTAAAACTGATAATTTTTAAGTTGACTTCAAAAATTTTAAAAATTATTGAGAAATTTCAAAACAAAATTCTAATTTTCAGCACCATGTACCTCTTAAACCATCAATATTTGTTTTAAGCCATGTTTGGCCCAATCGCTACATTTTAGCCTTTAATATTTCAAAAACCGAAACCTGCCATTTTTAATTAATCATCCTATATAAAATGTAGAATTTTCTAAAACTATTTTTTACATCGGGTTTTGGCGCTAGCAGTTCATATTCAAATTTATAATTTGCATATATTATATTTATACTATTACCTATTAAAAACATTAAATTACTATGGAGTGGAGTAAGAAGAAGAATCCGCCCCAATGACCTGCCACCCCCTCCCTCCCTGCCGCCGTGCTGCTCCCTTTTGCTGTATGTTAATTTCGCCACTGGAGGACAACTCTGAGTAGTTACTAATAGCTGCTATTAACTGCAATCTTTGTCAAAAGGACCTCTATCCTGAAAATGAAATGAGAATAAATCAGTTCGTTCAAAATGTTAAAATGTGGCACCAATGACCTACCTTCGAGCAGGAGTATATGCTCGAAGTGACCTACACACAGCGAATTGCGACAATTTCTTAACAAATTGAATATTTTTTTGGTCGGATATTGTTAAATGTAAAATTGATTTAAGGCATCTCACATGTGATAGTAAAATTGCTCACAAAATACAGATCAAAGTTAGACAAACCAGTGGCAAAGTTCAAATAAACTGGTGGTCAATTCTTTGCGAAAATTTTGAATAAGTTGAAAATGACCTGTTCACAAAATTTTCTTTTTCTTTCTCTTCTATACTAGTTAAAAAGTTAGTGCCAAATTTAGTACACGTTTTTGGCTTTTGATAACTTATTGTCTCACTGTTTTTTATCTATTGATGGTCAATAAACTTCTATTAGGTATATTCTATTCTATTCTATTCTATAGTGAACAAAAAGTGAACTACTTTTTCAAAACCAGTTAGATAAAAAAATATTGAAAATTTTTGGTATCTTGAAAAATACAGGTTTAAACACTACAGCATGAAAAAAATGATTGCTCTTGAAACATTATACACTCGGTTTCCGAATAAAATTAAAAAATATATCACAAATTATTACTAAAGATAACATCAAATAAAGATGGATTCTTCGTTTTCAGATACAAACAAATGTTTCTAAACACTATATACAACTATTTAAGACCTGTAACGTATTCTAGATACATAATAAAAAAACAGAAAGAAAATTGTAAAAACGGTATTTAAATTATTATATTACATATTTAACATTTAATTCATACTAATGAATACAAACTGATGGAACATAACAATAGCTTTACTAATAACCTTAAATATTTAAAAACATTCAAATATGTATGTATGTGAAAATGAAATCACGCCATCACGGCTACCATGACTAAATTATAAAATATCCCAT